TCCCCGCGGCCTCTCCCGCGCCCCGTTCCCCGCGCCTCTTGCCCACCAGCCCAGCAGGCCAGTAGGCTGTGCCTGGCAAAGCCTGCCAGAGAGGAAGAGGAGGTTGTGAGATTGCTCAGAGACTTAGTGCTGGCCCATAGAAATGCAAGCTGACAAGAGCTGTGATTCCCTCTAGAATAACCTTGCCTGCAGCAGTGTTCTGGGGGACCTGTGCGCTGTCCAAATTACCACTTGCAGCCTGATTGTTTTCCTAGGGGCCAAAAGGTCGCAGTCCCTGGACTGGAGTCTCACAGTTCCTCCAGACATCTCAGAAGATAATCCAGTTTGCATCTGGAAAGGAACCACAGCCAGGAGACACCATCATCTACGTGGCTGGAGCCTTCGACCTCTTCCATATCCTTGACGCTGTTTTGTCAAGAGAGTGGTGCTGGTCTGCTCGTCTGATATTGTCACACTTTCAGGCACCAGATTAGGATATTTTCCTCTTCTTTTTTTTTCTGTAGGTGGGTACGTGAGGGAGGAGGCAGGAGTCCTTACTGGCTGGTTCTTAGCAAGTCACAGGATGCTGTGAAAAGAGCTACAGGTCCTCTGCAGAGGGGATTCTGGCTCTTGGAGGACTTCAGGAAAAAAAAAAATGACCGGGTATCCTAAGATGATATTCTAAGGTCATTTTGAGGACTGACTGTCACAAATCAAGTGACTGTTTGCTTAGAAAGTGCAGGGTTTTTGGGGTAGGCACTTCTTCCGCAGGACAGGACGGTCTTTGAGTCTGTGTGCCAGAGCACCTGAAATGGGCAGAAATTCTGGACAAAAGCAATACTAAAACTATGTAAGCTGAAGCTAAAAAAGATGTCTGGCTTCTGCCTAGAACCTGTGAAACCAGAGGAGGAAAGAAGCAACTGTTCCTAGCACACGGACAGCCAGTGATATAAAAACAGAATCCTTGGGTTACCTGTCTCCCACTGTGGTTCCCCAGGGCATTTGTTTCCTGCTTCTTCCCCTTTACTTGCCTAGTTAGCTCCAGTTCCTTAAATAGATGTGCAGATATTGGGCATGTGGATTTCCTGGAGAAGGTTCACCAGCTGGCAGAAAGACCCTACATCATTGCTGGGCTGCACTTTGACCAGGTCTGAATCTGACATTGCCCAAAGCACTGACTCCCATGGCCACGTTACCTCACTGATGGAGCAGTCTGGCATCTGCTCTTTCTGAAATAAGTGTGCTGTGCTCTGGAGGCCAAGGAGAGGGACGGGCTGGCCCGTGCAGGATGCCAGTGCTGGGCAGTGATGGGCAAGGGGTTGCTTTGTCTCCTCTAATGGTGGCTGGTGCTTTGCCGTAGGAAGTAAACCGGTACAAAGGGAAGAACTATCCCATCATGAACATCCATGAGAGAACGCTCAGTGTCTTAGCCTGTAGGGTAAGTGTCTACAGCTCTGTCACTCCTGCATTTCTGCTCCTTGTAGAAATTGCCTGGGAGCTGGTGTTGCTCACTTAGCAGCCAGCAGTCTTGCGTGTGTTCTTTAATGTGCACAGAAAAGGCAAAGACTGGTCACTTTGGCTACCAGAGGTCCTGGTGTGCTCCTGTGAGGAGTTGCTGGGCTCATCTGGCATCCTGGCTAACCAGGGGTGTGGAGCCCTTTCATCTCTCTTCCACTGACAACAAAAAGGCAGAATTATTTGCAGAGGTTTGCTGTGTACTATGCTAAAGATGACTGTGTTCTTGCAGAAAGATATCCATCCCTTTGCAGCAGAGGAGAAAATTCCTGACAAATAAATGTAGGGAGCCCCAGAATTGCTTGCGCTGAGCAATTATCTTTGGATTTGCTATACACACATTACCAGAGTGGGTTTTTAGTGGAAGAAGAAGGTGCTGTGTGACAAGTACTGGATAGTAAACTCACTAATTCCTTTGCTTGAGTTCCCAAAGTCATAACCAGATGAGTTGTTCGAGCCTGTTAGGAAGCAGGCTGGATTCTGTGTGGGTCTTGTTTTTGTTGTTGCTGTTGTTGTTTTTTCTTGGACCAGGACACTTTACCTGGTTTCTCTTCTAGTATGTGTCAGAAGTGGTGATTGGAGCCCCCTACGCCGTCACTGCTGATCTCTTGGATCACTTCAGGGTGAGAGTTGCTGTGTATACACAATATTCATGAAGATGTTGGTCACTGATGTGCCGAGGGAACTGAAGTGGAGCGAGAAATGAGCAGGCTTTGCTCATTTCCAGGCTACACTGCAGTGAAGGGCAGTGATGGGGAAAGTTTCTTTGGATGTGCCGAGGGAACTGAAGTGGAGCGGGGAACGAGCAGGCTTTGCAGTGAAGGGCAGTGATTGGGAAGTTTCTTTCTTTTGGAGGGAACATGATAACGTCAGTGACTTTGTGCCCCTTTCCAGGTAACGCTTGTGTGCCACGGGATGACTGAGGTGGTGCCGGACAAGGATGGTTCTGATCCATATGAGGTGAGCTGCCCGCTGCTGTCAGCCTGCTCCCTGCCCCTGTCCCCGTGCGTGATGGACACAGCATGGCTTTAGGCATGATCCCGAGCTGAGAATCCGTACTGCAGGGGATGCTGCCCCAGAAAGTCCTTGGCAGGCAACTCTCTTTCATCCTTCCCTGAGGTAGATACTTGGAACAGAGCCTCTAAGTCATTCACAACAGCTCTGTTCTATTAGTCACTGTTTTGTTTTGCCTGTTCCTAATGCCTTCGTGGCAGAGCGAGAAATCCTCTAATCTTTACTCTGTGCCAGCCCTAGGCAGCCTCGCTCAGTTTCCATATATGTGAAGCTCTGCTTTTGGCAGTGATTTATTCTGCTTCCTAGGAGATCACTTTGTGTCGTGCCTGGCTGGGTGCCCACAAGACCTGCTGTGACTCCGCTCGGCTCTTTTTACTGAGCTGTAAATCCAGAGGTCCTGCATGTTTTTCCTAGCTGAACCTGCTGTGTTTGTTCACAGGAACCAAAGAGACGTGGTATTTTCCAGCTAGTGGACAGTGGCAACAATCTCACCACAGATTTGATTGTGCAAAGAATCATCAAGAACAGGTTGGCTTTTTTCATCTCCCAGTCCTGTTATATGCTCTTTGGTGTAACTTGTCTGAGGACTAATTAACAGGATCAAAGAGGAAGAAAGAAAGTTGCCTAGAGGCACAGAAGAGAAGAAATCAGTGGCAGGTCCTCCTTCTTCCACAGCTTTGTTTGGAAACTTTGGGTAGGCTGCTTGGGAAAAGGAATAGCTACACTTTGCTGTCAGAATGTCCTTCACTGCATGTGTTTTATTGTTTTTCCTCCCTCTCTGTTAACGATGCAATTTCCTTGCTCTATTTTTGGGGATACAACATTCCGTTATGCTCAGAGCTCTGCTCTTTCCAGCATGAAACCTTCATGTTCAGTGACTTCACCTCAGGCCAGTTGTTAAATTGAATGTGATATTGCAGCACTAAGTGGCTCATCGCTGGATGAACTAAGTGTGGTATAACAACATCTCTTGCAGAGGGGGAGATCCACAGTGTTTGTATGGTGGGGGAGCCTTCTGGAGCGATAGTCACAGTCGTGGGGATGAGCTGGATCCGGGCTCTAGAAGAGGCCTGTGGGGATTAGTGGTAAGGTTCTTGGAACAAGAACCTACTGGTCGTAGTCTCCGGGAGATATGGTTGAATCTCATGCAGTGTCCCGATTCTTGCAGGCTGGAATTTGAAGCTAGGAACCAGAAGAAGGAAGCAAAAGAGCTGGCTGTGTTGGAGGCTATGAAGAAACTGGAAGAAGAGAAGGACTAGGCCAGCAGGGAACTGATGTCTGGCTTGCAAAGTGCTGCAGCCTCACCTGCTCTGGAGGAGCAAAGAGCTTTTCCGAGAGGAGTCCTAAACAAGGACACTGCTGCTGGCATGCACAGGATGTGTTATCCACCCTTGTCTGTCCTAGCTCCTCTTGCACTAATTATACAGACATAATGAGTTGGGATCCTGATGCCTAGTTTTTCCCTCCATTAATCAGCCCCTGTTCCCTTTCCCAAGAGGAGATTTGAAAAATGAGAAAGTGGTTTTAATTCTAACTAATGTTTTAACATGTTGATGTGCTTTTACCTTCTGACATTTCTGGCTTTTAGTAGAGGGGAAGTGGAACAGCACCCTGGGCGCCTTCTGTCCTGTTCCAGCCTCTGCTGTCCTGGTTGGGGTCTGCGTTTCAGAACAGCCCATCGGTTCATGCTGGGGGGCTGCTTTACAGACTGGAGACAACAACCTTCCCAGGGAAAAGGATGCGGCGCTCCTAGGTCCTCCTAAGGGCAGGCTGGGGATGTTAGGGGTCAGTGTGACTGCTGCTGGAGATGCTGACTGTGTCCTGTGCTGTAATATGCCTGTGTTGACTCTTGTCTGTTGCTGCGTCTGCACGAACACCAGACAAAGCTGCTCCTGGGCTAACTGGATAAAGGCTTTCTCCAGCCCTGACGGGTGCATCGTTCGTTTCCCCCGTAACCGGCACAGCTGAGTCTGCCAAGGAGCGCGTGGGACAAGGGACCTCAGTGCAGCGTGGAGGAGTTTCTCTGCGTGAGGAGTGGGAACGTTGCGGCGGGGAAAAGGGGACACATTCTCTTGTTGCAAGATCTTCAGGAGCCCCGGTTCTCCATGTACACCATGCTCAGAGTTCTGCCAGCTGCACTTCACCTTGTGTCTTTTGGGTGTTACCACTGGAGTTACCTTGTGAGCTGGAAATCTGCCTCCCGTAAGGTCGAAACGCAGCATGTTCCCCCCGTGGGACATGTCGGGGCCCCAGGCACATGGGGCGGGAGAAGTTGCCTCTCACATTCCGGGCGGCGTGCCGGGTGCCCAGCCGTCCCCGCGCCGCGCTGTGCCGTCCTCCAGGCCGGCTCCTCCTGTCCGCTGTTGTGCACTTCTGTTGCTGATCACTAATAAATTGTTAAGGAGTTGTGTGGCAGTCTCTTTGGGCCTTGCGTCCAGGTAGCAGAAAGCTGCCAGCCCTTTGAGTGGAAACATCTCCGAAAGAGGCCTTTCCGCAGGGGCTTTAACTAGAAGAGCCTTGAGCGTTTGCTGGAGGTATGAAAACAACCTGTTCACCCATGGCTGGAGCAGCCTCAGCTCTGCAAGGGGTTAGAGTGGTCCTGGCATGGGGTTAGAGCTCACTACAGAGCCAGAAGCCGCTTCCTCTTGCCCTGGACAGAGGTTTGTGCTGAATTTGTTGGAGAGTTGGACTAGAAGCACGAGGGCTCCTTTGCTGTGCTCTGCTTTGGGACTTGTGCTTCCTGCGGCAGCAGAGGCTGCCGGGGGCGGCTGCTGTCGCTGTGTAGAGCTTGGGGACCTGGAGGAGGTCGGGGAGCGTCTGCTGCTGGTGCTTCTCTTGCGGCCGGGTGCTGCTATCTGGGATGGGGGCAGCACCAGGGAGGGAGCCGGGGCCCGGCTGCCCCTTCCTGCTCCTGCAGCCGCTTCCCGCTCCTTCCTGCTGCCCCTGGGCCCCGCTGCTGCTTCCCGCTCCTGCAGCTGCTTCCTCCTCCTTCCCGCTGCCCCCAGGCAGCTTTGCCCTGGGCTGGGGCCGCTGCTGCTGCTGCCTGGCCTGGAGCGGGACCAGCCCCGCTGCGGCACCAGGAGAGACTGCGGAGGAGTTGGTAATTACAAACAAACAACCTGTCAGCAGTGACGAGTCCACCCCAGGCTGAGCATTCCTTCGTGAAGGAGGCGCCTCTGGCCCGCCAGCAGGTGCAGCCGTTATTAAAAAAATGACAAAACTATTTAATTTTTGCTTGCACAGTGCTCGGGTGTCTGCCCGCTGGGCTCGCTTGTTTGCCTGGAAACTTCAGCTTCACTTGATCAGAGAGAGCAGCTCTGCCTGGTGGAGCTGCTCTTCCTTCTGGGCTTACTGCCTTTTTGAATAGAAATGTTCGCATTTGGTATTGCTCATGTCAAGCACCTCTGGGCCCTTCTTCCATGCTGGTGTTCACTGACAGCCTCCGTGTCCCCAAGGGCAAAAATTAGCATGGTAAATTAGAAGAAAAATCTGTGAAATTCGATTTTGAGTTAGTTTTGTGTGTTGTTTTCTCACTTTCCTGCAAAAGTGCTGGGCTCTGGCTCCTGAATTGACGCGTGGCAGCTTCCCTCGCGCTGCCCCTGCTGGGGCCAGGGAACAGGAGCTGTGCTGGGCACTGTCACTTGTCCCCAGGGCTCCCTGCAGTGCCCGGCCACACAACAGGGCCTGTCTGTGGGCAAGACTGAGAACATGGGAGCCCATGTGGGGCGCGATGGGATCGTGTCTCCCTCAGGCCCTGTCACCCTTGCTCAGAAAGCAGCACCTGGATCTGGAGGACAGGCTGGGGCTGCTGGGGACTGGACAAGCCTGGTTGGGGCTGCCAGGGGCCAAGACTGGGGCTTGTGGATGGGCCGGGGTTGCTTAGCCTGGAGCCTGCGGTGGCAGGACGGGTGCTGCCCCCAGCCCAGTGCAGGGCTGTTAGAGCAGCGTGGCCCCTGTGTCCGCCCCTGCCCCACATCCCGACCCTGCTCCGTGTGACATTCCCACACGGGACCGGGCTGGAGCGTGTAACTGTAGGGACCATCTCTCTTCCTGCCACCCTTTGGCTGCTGCCTGCCCCAGGAGACCTGTCCTTACTCCTGGGGACACTGTGGGGCACCGTGGGCATCTGGCCGCTCTGTCACACTCCACTCGCAGTCAAGCTGCCCCCTGCCAGCTCCCTGGCCCTCCCTGGCCAGCACACCGGCCCCTGGGCTGCGAAGGGCTGCCCGAGGGGCTTGGCTGCTCTGTGGACAAGATGCAGCCCCTGCAGCGGCACCACTCGCTGCTGCAATCCCTGCTTGGAGCTGGGACGTGCCGGGCCAGGCCCCACCACTCCCAGGGCCTGCAGAGCCTCTCACCCCTCCTAGGCAGGTGCCCCAGGCCCCCATGCCCTTCCCTGGGGCATCCCCGCAGCCCCCAGGCTCCTGCGGCTCCATCCCCGCTGCGCCGGGGCTGACGAAGCTCCTGGGTGGCGGAGCAGTGACTGGGGCAGCTCTGCAGGGTCCCGCACCCGTTTGTGCCCCCTGACAGCACGCAAGGACACAGCACACGGACCCAGCCCAAAGGTGTTTATTGCCGGGGCGGCAGCGCTGCCGCGATGGGCCATAGCCGGTCAGGCCTCCGTGCACTCCAGGGGATCCAAGGACATGGTCACGTCAGCCTGGCACTGCAGGGAGCCCGGCACTCCGGGCAGCGGCTGGCAGCTGCGCAGCTTGGGGGACACATCCGTCACACACGGCACCTGCAGGAGAGGGCGTCAGCGCCGGCACCAACTGCCCTGTGAGCGCAGTGCGGTCCCGGGAGCCCCGCGCACCCCGGGGCCTTGCGGTGGGCGCGGTC